TATCATATCACATATCAACAGCCGACAAACAGGAAACTAATGTACGTTTCTCATATTATAAATATATGATTTGATGCTTCTATTTCTCCATTCCTTCAATTAATTTGCAATCTCTATATTTAAGTACTTTAGGTATGTAATTTACACTCACATTATATACATATATTACATATGTAAAGTATATAGATACACATATAATTTTATACACATACACATTTATATAAATATTTATATATGTTTTATGTGTTTTATGTGCACCATAGTGACAACGACAACGATGCCTGCTTATATTTTGCCTGGCATATTTAAATAGAATGGTGGTGGAGAAGATGGATGCGCCGTTCGTGCTTTTTAATTATGCGTTTTAAATCAAAGTTTTTCTTCAAGTTTTTCATTCTTATTTTTATCATATGGATTCCCTTGCTTCTACTGCCACTTATACTCTACGGCAAATGCTCGCACAGTGGCTCTCCCTACTGCCAATTATTTTCCAGTCCATATTTTCCCGACGCTGCTGATGGGGGACATGGCACGAATCAACAAAGTGAAAGTAAATTCTGAATGAATGTAAAAATGATTGTTGAATTGAAAACTTTGTTTCAAATGAAAATTAATTGATAAATTTTTGATCAATTTGTTGAATTCCAAAAGACAAGTTGAAATAAATAAAAAGTTGAAGAGTATTTAAAATTTAAATTTAAAAATGAATATGCTTGTCTATGATCAAAGATTCAATGTTACTTATTCAATTGGTTTAAAAATAACAGATGGTTTTGTTCGACATGGAGAAATGGGAGAGCCTGTTAAATTCCAGCCTGGAAGGGAAAAGGAAATAGAAAGGCTTTTTAAAATAAACCAGTTCAACTTGCTTGCCAGTGACCTTATATCTGTCAACAGAACATTACCTGATTATCGAATGTCAAGGTCATTGGTTTAGTTTATGCTTCTATGAATTCACTTTTAAAGTAAATTTAGAGTGCTCTATTTTTCTAAATGCAGAATTAATAGAAGAATTTGTATGAAATTTAAAAAAAGTTTCTAAATGTTGAAAGAATAATTTATTTGAATATTTGAATTTCTCAGAGATATATTAATTATAATATAAATACTACAAATAATAATTCATTATCTAAATAAAATATTTACTTAAATTGAGTTAATTTGCATTTTTGGAGTATAAGACTATATAAATCAAATTATTTACAGATGCCCGAAACATCTATCCCAGTCATATAAACTTCCTTCAACCAGTATTGTTATAGTTTTTCACAATGAAGCTTGGTCAACACTTATAAGAACCATATGGAGTATTATTAACAGGACACCAAGCAGTTTATTGAAAGAAATTATATTGGTGGATGACGCCAGCGAAAAAGGTTTTCCTAAAAATTTATTTTATTTTATAGTTTCAACTGTTACATTTTTTTTATTTGGTTTATATGTTTTGAATTATGCATACTATTTGGTAATGTTATTTTAATTTTAAAACGATTTATGAATATTTTCTCTTGTATCAGTATTGGTTTTGTCGTGTTTTTATTTTATAAAAATGCTCATTTTCAGATTTTCTAGGTGTACGTCTTGATGATTACATAAAATCAATCAATGCAAATATTCAGTTAGTTAGAATGCATGAAAGAAGTGGTCTGGTTAAGGCTCGGTTGAAAGGTTGTTTGTTGTTTGTTTTGTTTTGTTTTGTTTTGTTTGTTTGTTTGTTTGTTTTGTTGTCTGTTTTATTGTTTATTTTACTCTTTTCGTTCTGAATTTGAAAAGTAAAACACAAAGGATACATAATTTAATGATATGCTTTAGTTTTATTTCAAAACAAATTTGAATTAATCTTTTCAAGTGAAATGCCTTTTTCAATGCACATAAATGTTACCAAACATCTGCT